GACATTATAGTCTACATGAACAGCCTTCATGTTTGTGAGTCATTTCACAGTCACGGCCCCAGCGCTGCTGTTGTATGCAACTCAACCATCTTGCTGGGCATTTCTAGATGTTTCTAAATGTCGGATCCTCTTCTAAGCCTTCTGTGCTGCTCACCACAGTCACATTTGGTTTTAGTGTGGGAGGAAGGTTTCCTGCACCTGTTCAGCTTCCACTTTCTTGTGTTACATGGAGACACCAGTAAGCTATTTTGTATTATTGCAGAAACACAATACTCTCAGCAGACCCAACAACCAACGCCCTAGTACTTCAGTAGGCACACGAGGGACCACACATTTCTTCACTGCCTGCCTAAATAGATTCTTTTGCCTCCCTCATTAAAAGTGACTTGTTAACATATGTATATGTATACATAGAAGTATATGTATATGTAGATACATTTTGATACATGCATATAATATATTCTCATTTAATATCAGATATTATTGCTCTCTTGTCCCACCCCTGCTCCTCTCCTCCCTTTTCCCAGAAAGCCCTTCTTCTACTTTCATGCCTCTCCCTCTCCCTCCCTCCTTCCCTCCTTCTCTCTCTCTCTCTCTCTCTCTCTCTGTGTGTGTGTGTGTGTGTGTGTGTGTGTGTGTGTGTGTGTGAAACAATGAGTTTAATTAACGCTGCTTACAGGAGCACAGGCAGTTATCAGTAACAAAAACTGAAGAAATTTCTTTTTCTCCCACAGAAACCATTAACTATAGATCAAGCCACTGTTTTTAGCAATGTCTTGCTGCTGCTGCTGCTGCTGCTGCTGCTGCTGCTGCTGCTGCTGCTGCTGCTTGTAAAGGGCACCCTGCTCTCATGTGACAAGAAGGCAAATGGACAAAAAGGCCTATGCTAGTTTCTTCTAGTCCTTTAATAAAACACTAACTCATTTCAAAATACACCTACCTCTTAAGATCAACACAGTAGGGTTTAAACTCCAACATCAACTTTGAAAGTGTGCTAGCTTGCGTTTATGTTGTGATGCTAAAACACTCTGCCCCCAGAAAACAACCTGGGGAGGAAAGGTTTTATTTCCCTTCATAGTTTTAAGTGACAGTCTCATCATTAAGGAAAGCCAAAGCAAGGACCTGGAGGCGGGAATCGAAGCAGAGACTACGGGTGAACTCTGCTTACTGGCTTGCCCTGCAGGCCCACCCTCCTAGGGATAGAACGTCATACAGTGGCCTGGGCCCTTCTACATCAGTTAGATATTAAGAAAATGCATCATAAACATGGCAAAAGGCTAGTTTGATCTAGGTGGTTCTTCAGGTGAGATTTCTTCTTCCAAGGTGAGTTTGTGTCAAGGCCGAGACTAGTTACGACAACAGGGATACACTGAAAAAGTAACAGTTCACTGGTTTTAATTTTGGTAATTTTTCTTTCTTTCTTTCTTTGCATTGTTATTTCCTTAGTGGTTACTCTAGAGATTGCCATTCACATCTTACTTTGTCTGCCTCAGCTTCAGATTTACATGAACTTAATTTCAGTAAGAGAAATGATAGAAATGTTACTCTTACACAGATTTCTCCTTCTTTTGGGGGCATTATTATTAAGCATATTGTACCTATAGCAGTACAAATGATGTTTTGTTTGTTTGTTTTTTTGAGACAGTGTTACTCTGTGTAACCCTGACTGTCTTGGAACTCACTCTGTAGACCAGGCTGGCTTCAAACTCATAGATCTGCCTGCCTCTGCCTCCCAAGTGCTGGGATTAAAGGCGTGTTCCACCACCAGAAAGCTAACACAAACAATTGTTATGGCTCAGACTACACTGCTTTAACTACTATATATAGCTTTATGTGTTGGTGTGTGATCTGTGTGTGGGCATACACATGCACATGCAAAGGCCAGAAGACATCAGGTATCATTCTTAAGATGACATCCCCTATTTCCAGCTTCTTTATTATTCATTGGTCATCATTTTATTAGTTGTATATGAGTTAATTCACACTACAGAAACATGTGTCAATTTACCCACTATCTTACTAGAATTCATCCAGCCATATATGCTATCATTCCTTTTATTTTCTCACGCAGAAGCTGAGGAATAAAATGGTTGCATACCTAAAGCCATATAATTAACATTACTATGCTTATTAAGCTAGGATGGCTACCATGTGTGGAGAGCTAATACTGAAGTTTAAGAGGTTTCATACATAAAGGTTTACTGTACCTGCTGAATCCATCCTCATTCTTGTTACATGTCCCTAAAGAGTTGGTGGGGGGCTGTGTGCCAAAGTGTCCTACAAGATCTGAGGTGGTGCAGACACACCATCTTGAATCTGCATTTTCTAGAAAAGGCTTCCTGAAAGCAAAGGTGGAGGTCATGGATGAGACATATTATTCTTCAAATTAAAAAAAGTGTTTACTGTTTTATCTTCCACCTGTAAGTGAGGAAACAGAACAACCTTTACCTTTAGAGACCTAAGAGGAAACTGGAGAGATCATTATAGAACTTACACTTAGGAAGTGAGCCAAGGGCTTGAGTCGCTGGTTCTGGTTTTTGTTGTTGTTGATGTTTAGCCTGCAGAGAAGTATTTCCTTATAACATTATAGTACCTAGAACCCTCCTGTACCCCTCCTCATCCTCATCTCCCTGGTCCCACACCCCTAAGCCCTCAATAACCCCCCTTTCATTCATACAGCACACGTGTTCTATTACTCTCCCTGCCCCACCCCTTGGCTCTCAACAGTTCTTCCCTGTACCTTTCCTGGGGCCCTTTCTAGTTTCCTGAGCTTGACACAAAGTCGCTTCTACTAGATATGCACACATAAAAATCAGATGCAAAGATCCACCAATGAGAGGTAACTTGTGGTGTTTGTCTGAGCCTGGCTTGCTTCACTTAATATAATATTTTCCAGTTCCATCAATTTTCCTGAAAATTGCATAATTTCATTCTCTCTGCTAAATACAATTTCATTGTGGATTTGTACATTTTCATTATCTGCTTATCTGTGGATGGGCATCTAGGCTGATCCCATTTCCTTTTGATTGTGACTAGAACCACATTGAACAGGGATGGGTGGTGTTTCTTTAGTAAAATATATAGTCCTGTGGGTTTTTACCCAGGAGTGGTATAGCTGGATCATATGGTGGTTCTAGATTTTTAAGGACCGTCCACACTAATTTCCAGAATGGCTGCATGTAGACTTTCTCCACATAACCTTTCCAGTGCTGCCATTTGTCTGCCTGATGATCGCCACTTTGACAGGAGTGAAATGGGACCCCATCATTCGAATTGCACTCCTTTGATGCTCATTTATATGTCTTCATTTGAAAGCTCTGCTCAGTTCCTTATTCCATTTTTGATAGACTGTTTTCTTGTTTAGTCTTTTGAGTTCTTTTGCATAGTCTAACCATTAATTCTGTCAGAATTCTGCCTTAAGTCTTACATTAAGGTTTTTGGTCCATTTGGAGTTGACTTTTGTGCAAAGTGAGAGATACCGATTTAGTTTCATTCCTTTCCATGTGAATATCAGGTTTCCCCAGCATCTTTTGTTAAAGAAACATCTTTTCTTCAGTGAGTACATGTGGCATCTTTGTCAAAACTCATGTGATTTTAACTGCACAGATTTATGACTAGGTTTCTGTTTCATTCCATTGATCTACATGTGAGTTTTTGTGCCAGGTTCATGCTGTTTTTATTTCTGTGGCTCTACAATGAAACTTGAACCTAGGTGCTCTCCTTATGCCATGTATTATGTCATTACGTTATAATAACCTCTTCACACTTATCCTATTGTGATGGTTTGTATATGCTCGGTCCAGGGAGCGGCACTATTAGAAGATGCGACCCTGCTGGAGTAGGTGTGGCCTTGTTGGAGTAGGTGTGTCACTGTGGGTGGGCTCCTCAAGACCCTCATCCTAGCTGCCTGGAAGTCAGTATTCTGCTAGCAGCCTTCAGATGAAGATGTAGAACTCTCAGATCCTCCTGCACCATGCCTGCCTAGATAATGCCATGGTCCCACCTTGATGATAATGGACTGAACCTCTGAACCTGTAAGCCAGCCCCAATTAAATGTGTTCTTTTATAAGAGTTGCCTTGGCCATGGTATCTGTTCACAGCAGTAAAACCCTAACTAACTAAGACACCTATATAACTGCAACTTCATACCCTTTGGCCCATCTATGGTGGTTTAAGTAAAAATGGGGGTTTAAGCCCCATAAGCTCACAGGGAGTGGCACTTTTTGAAAGGATTAAGAAATGTAGCCTTGGCCGGGCGGTGGTGGCACAGGCCTTTAATCCCAGCACTTGGGAGGCAGAGGCAGGCGGATTTCTGAGTTCGAGGCCAGCCTGGTCTACAGAGTGAGTTCCAGGACAGCCAGGGCTACACAGAGAAACCCTGTCTCGAAAAACAAAAAAAAAAAAAAAAAAGAAATGTAGCCTTGTTGGAGAAAGTGTGTCACTGGGGGTGGGCTTTGAGGTTTCAGATGCTCAAACCGGGCTCAGTGTCCCTCTCTGTTCCTTCTGCCTGCTGATCCAGTTGTGGAACTCTCAGCTCCCTTTCCAGCACCGTGTCTGCCTGCCCACCAGCATGCTTTCTACCATGATGATAATGGACGGAATAAGCCTCTGAACCTGGAACCCAGCCCCAGTTAAATGCCTTTCTTTCTAAGAGTTGCCTTGGTCATGGTGTCTCTTCAGAGCAATAGAAACCCTAAGACACCAGCTCTTCTCTTTTCCCCTCTGCTATGCCCTTGGTACACACCATTCATTTGTTTCTATATATTTAAAAAAATTTTTTTAGATCCCACATATAGGTGAGATTGTGTGTTGTTTTTCTTTTCTGTCCGGTTTATTTCACTTGGCACAGTGTCACCCTTGTTCACCCATAATGTCATCCTTGTGGTTACAAATGGCAGGGCCTACTTCTGTTTTCAGGAGAATCGTTATTCCATTTTACATGTGCAATTTTTTAATGCAAAATTTATATGGCTCTTTACATTAGTTAAGAAAAGAATAATAACCCCTGGCAGTGGGCAAAGAGACACCTTGTTGGTGGTGGTGTTCTTATTATCAGTCAGGGGCAGAGCAGATGGCAGTCCTTTGTTCATCCTAGCTCGATGCCTGGCTTGGTAACCAAAGCCATTTTCTGCCTAGAATTCATAAAAATCCAATCCAATCCAATCAAACCAGGCAGCACCCAGCACAGGAGGAGGAAGACTAAGAGACGGACATTCTGCCATGCCACCCACAGACCTGCCCTCCAGTGCACAGCACAGGCAGGCCTTATTTAGCCACTGCTTGCTGCCATCGCAACATATCATGGACCGAGGAGGTCACCCAGGGGCCTGCTAGCCACATGGCCAGCCGGCAGCTGGAGCCACCACAATGTGTGGTGGTCCGATGGGAGAGAAAGAGAAGTGGAAAAGCTTGAGCATTATGAAGAGAAATGAAATTGGAGACTCTGTGGACAGAAATAGTCTCTTTTGAGGTCATGGTAAGGTCCCAGCCCGAGCTGCTGCTAAGGGCCATGTCTGAGTCCATGGCTACACAGTAGCAGGGTTGGTGTCGATATCTATAATACCAGAGAACATGGTTACATCCTTGGGGTGTTCAGCCTCTGGAGACCACATGAATATCCAGAAGCTGTGCAGAACTGACTCTGCCCCACACTGGCTGCGGTGCTCTGGAGAGTTGGCCCCGTCTTTCAGCTGCAGCATCACTTGGGAGAGCTGGCCCTTCACCTTGGCCAGGCAGCACAGTGGAGCTGGCCCTGGTGGCAGGGATGTGGGTGAGCTGGCCTCGAGGTTGTGAGTATGAGTGAGCCGAACATACTGCTCATGAGTTGTGGAGTGGTATGGATACAGAGTTGATGCCCTCTTATCCTTTGCCACCTGAGGCAGTCGGGAAAGCAGCCCACAGGGTCGTGACCACAGGAGAGCAATCCCTGCCCCTCACCAGCTGCGGCACTGGGGAGCGGGACCTACACCTCACCTGGACAGCACAGGGGAGCTGACCCTGGTGGCAGGGCATGTGTGAGCCGGTGAGAGCAAGGGAGAGCTGGCTCTGCCACTCTTGGAGCTGGCCCTGCCACTCCTATGCCATGAGGTGGCTTGGGGAGGGGGTGATTCCTCCCTTGACACCTGCGGTAGTCAAGAGTGGTGGCTCTGAGGCATTCGAGCAAGACAGCTAGTCCTGCCCCCTCACTGCCTGTAGTGCTGGCGAGCAGGGCCTGCACTTCACCTGGGCAACACAGTGTTGCTGGCCTTTATGGTGAAGGCACTGGTGAGCCAATCCAGAGGGTGTGAGAGCAGGAGAGTTGGTCCAGGCCCTTGCAGGCTGCAGCACTTGGGAGACTGGGCCCTGTGCCTTGACTGAGTAGCATACTGGAGCTGGCTCTGGAGTTATGGGTGTGGTTGAGCTGCCTCTAAGGACAAGAAAGCTGGAGAGCTAACTCTGCCTCCTACTGATGGTGTGTCAGGTAGCCTAGCCCAGCAGTGCTGGAGAGCTCACCCTGGTGGTGCAGATAGCCGGCATGCTGACCAGCTACACCCAGGCCCAGATCCAGGGCTCTGAAGTGGCCCACCCCAAAGTCTATATCCTCTATAAACAGTTGGGGCAGGTGAGAGGGGCAGTCCTGCTAATCCAAAGCTACAGAATCTTTATGACACAGGGTAACAACAAGATAACTGGGAGGAGTCCTGGTGGGGATCCAATATTGATGGAGTCACAGAAGCCAAATACCTTGAGCTAGACCAATGACTCATTGCAATGAACACTCGCAGTTGAAGATGTGTGAGCAGAAGGATATACTGTGGGACACAATGTGCCAAATTACAGCTTCCATAACAAGATAATGAGATGTTCTTTATGCTTTGGTGTGTGTGTGTGTGTGTGTGTGTTGGGGGGATGGAAGTTGCAAGGGTGAAGGACAGATATGAAGGGATGGGGAGATGAGCAGGACTGGGTACATGATGTGAAACAAAGAATCAATAAAATGGTTTTTTTTTTTAAAGAAAAGGATAATACATATATTATATATATTATAGGTATACTCCCACGAGACAGAACTGCATGTTAGTTATATTTCAGTATATGCAAACACTTAAAAAACTGAGTTTATATGAATACTAAGAATTCTACTCAAAAGCAAAGGACCTTGTTTTATCCTCCTCCATGACATATTTCTGTGTCTCTCATCCCTCAAGGATAGTGCTACCTCCAAGGAGAACTACTCAGTGACAAATTCTAGCCATCTTCCAGAATTATCTAGCAGGATAGAGTGTTAACTCCACACAAGTTAAATCTTCACCTGTACTAAGATGCCTGTCTCAGGATATGTACCTGGGGAAACCTAGGGGACAGCACACTGCTACTTACCTCTCCACAGACTCCCAACTACTCAAAATGCTCTTGTAAAACCCACCAATATGCAAGTGCAAAGCATAATGGTAAATAACAGAACCATAAGCTATATATGGAAAGTGAAACATGGTACATGTTCAGTAAGCAAAATTACTTCCTCATGCTTCTGTCTATTTTAACAGTCATTGTCTCTGTGCTATTATAGAAATAGAACTACATTATTTCCAGTAGTTTTATTTGTGAGCTTAATTGTACGTGTACAGTTAGATGAAGAGAGAAAAGTAAAGAAGGAAAGGGGTGAGGGAAAGACAAATACATGTGTTCGTAGGGTGAATGCTTTGTCATTTAGTGGCTTTTATGAATCATGCACATTAGCAATGTGTCACTTGATCCACGTGTTCACCACAGGATCAAATGTAGGAACAAATGAACAATGAAGCCTGGATTTGGATCTCAGGCAAAAAGGAGGAATGTTTCTTTTCATTTAGCTATATAGGTTAAAAAGATAAAAGTAGTATTCTCAGATTGATAACTTTAATATGACTGAAAATATAACAAAACATCTTTTAGTAGTTTTAAGGAATGAGGAAAAATAGATCTTTGCTCTCTACCTACTATAGAGATGAAAGACAAATATAATACTGCAACAGTCTCTATATTGGACATAAGGAAGTCTTTTAAAAACATGTACTACACTAAGAAGACACAGGTGCTGGAATTGCTTGAGCTAGCAAGTTTGTGACGAGCTCAGACAACATGATGAGATCTTCATGTCAACAAGTCAAACATAAGACAGAAATAAAGTATGAATTATATTTTAAAACCTAACTTATATTTTAAAGTTTAAAATGCATGGGGTAGTTACTCCCCAAGCACCAACTTCCGAAGTGTGACATCCTACATTATTTTATGAACAAAACTGACATCACAAATTGTTCAAAGATGTAACTCTTGTAATGGAAATGTTCTTTGATCTCTTGTATTTGTCTATATAGAAATTTTCATGAAGTCCCCTTTTTGGGTAAAGAAAGCAAACACTATCATATATGGAGTTGCTTATACTCTTTAGTTCACACAGTGAATGCAATCATATAGATCTGTGGTAGTTCCTTTGTTGGTCTGTGAGGTTCTCTTTTTCTACCAGTTCGAGACATCTCCATCAAGTCCCTAGCTTTGTCTGAGCATAATGTAATGCTCCTTCACCTGGGAGAGCTTACCTGGTTGACTTTAGCATTTGAACAACTGAGCTTCTAGGTAAACCGCAAAAGACACCCCTGCATCAGGTGGCATGAGCTGCTTCCCTCATCAACGGACAGCACTTCAATTGCTACCTGAGTTGTAAGATTTGCATAGATTAAAGTTCAGGCTTTGCTGCTGGTTTTGGTGAATGATTAAAGACAAGATGCTACAGGCAGTGGATAGCAGCTGGGGGAGGAAAAATAGTTCTTAATTGATGATAAGACAACTGCCAGGGTTCTGGTGCTCAAGTGGATGGCTGCACACCCATGCACATAAGGGCACTATTAACTGGACAAAGTGAGTTATATTAAAAAGTACATGGTGTTGGGAGGGACACATGTATGTCGGAGGAATTGGATGGATAAAGAGAGTACATATGATGGTGTTTTGTTGTGTACATGTATGAAATTGTCAAAATGAAGAAAAGCTGAAAAAGAAACGGTGAGTTAAAATTTAAAAGACGCAAGCTAGATTGTCTAATAAATGACTCTAGTTTTATCTAGGTTCTATGAGCTAAATGGGGTTGGGAATTCTGCATTCTCAGTTATAGAGGCCAGTCTCTGAAGTAACTAATGCACCTATGGTTGCCCTTCCTCTATTGGGAAGGACTAAGCCATAAACCAGTTTCACAGAGGTGACAGCAAGCAGTGTTGTTGCTTTGCGACTGGCACCCAACTCCAGCCATTCACCCTTCTAGCTCTAGGTCTTTCCCCACTTTTACATATAGAGCAGTGAAGTGCAGGGAGTGGATCCCCCCTTAAAGCCCAGCCCTGTGTGATCTAGTTGCACCCTCTGAAGACTTGAGGAGGAAGGGGTCTAAAGAGAGCTAGAGTTCACAAGTTATTTAGAGGAGGGTATCAGACTACTGAACTTACCTTACTTTTCAGTTGGAAATGTATCTGGGAGCCAAAATGTAAAACCTAAATTTTTTTAATAATTTATTTTTTCTCAAATAGTAATTCATTCATTCACACAGGGGTTATAAACACAGAAAGGCAGGATGTGGGAAGGGGATGACAATGGAGTGTGGGTGTTCAGGGGGAATACAGATATCTTCAGAAGTGGATATCGGCTGGGTGAAGGTTCACGGGACAAGTCACTATGACTCTGCCTGTGACTCGCTTGTCCTTATCTAAGTTGGTATTGTCTGCCAAGCCTACCTATTTACAAGGTCTATGGCTACTCAGGTTTGTAAATTTCCACAAAAGCTGCCTGTTTACATTAGCTTATAGCCATCTGTTTCAATGTTTTTCCACTGAGACCCAAGACTCGTTGTTAGTATACATGTATGACAGGCCTATTGCTGATTTTAGGCCTATGACTGATTTTAGGCCTACAGTGTGTAAGCAGGGCTGCCCCTGACATCTCCTCCCTTCTCTAAGTATAGAAGGGCTGTGGCAATTCTAAACTTGCGAAGGCGGGGATAAAGGCCTGACCTCCAGTATTTGAAGGGGACCTTGTAATGGCTCCAGTCCCCCTGTCGTTGTCCAGTGAGGCATGAGGGCCATACGCATCCCAATGTCTTTTTCCTGGAGAGGGGATACTTTTGACATCAACCCCTA